AAACAGGCCACATGCTTGTTTTTAGCTTCTTTTTAAAGTACACTGGCTGTCAGAAATTATTCACAAAATATTTCTTTGTCCTTTTTGGCACCCGTCCACCTGATGCTGCCCTAAGTGACCACCTAGCCTGCCTATGCCTAAAAATGGCCTTGACTTCAACAGTAGAAGGTAGGGAGCAGTGTAGATCTGTCAAAGAAACCCTAAACAGGACTGGGAGTTCACAGTAATGCTAGCAGCTCTGTGAGTTTATACCACTGAATGTAGCCTATATATTTAAGATATTGTGACAGCTCCCAGAAGTGAAGCCACCACGAGTTGATCACTCCCTGATGGCCGGTTGGCGTATTGGTCATCAATTTTGCCTCCTCCATGTTAGTGATTGGCACATGAGCCAATTTAAAATCAGTACAACTCAAATGATTTTGAGATATTATTGCAGATTTGTGTAAAAGTGGTCATTTCTCAGTCAGTGGTTTCATACATACTGTATGCACAGTGGTGCTTTGAGCTAAACTAGCAAAATACGCGCAGCAAGGACTGAGATTATACATGACTTGCTACAACTCCCCAAACTGGTATGTAGTCACAGTGACAAAGCCATGCTGATGTTTCCCTATTTATTATTATTATTTATGAATATTTATTTCACACACTATTTATTTATTTATATGAAACTGTTGATTGCCTCAGACATTTCATATAATATATTCAGCTAAGTGGATTGTGTGAAGTGAAAAATGTTATTTCAGGACAGAAATATTGTGCTGCTGACCTCAAATAAAAGAACTACTTTCATAATTTGTTCTCACTGAGTATTTTCTTTTAAATCTGTTTGCATTTTGAATCCTATTGTACTGCTACTACTTTTAAAAAGCCAATGTTTCATTGCTGGGAGGGCAGAAAAAAGAAGCACAGTAAGAATGAATTCACTGTATGTAAAGTAGAAATCTGCAAATTTTGTGTCAAATATATAAAGGTAAAGCAGAATTTTCATTATACATGAGCAAAATTCAGTCTGGAAGTCACCAAAGTGTTCTAGACACAAATAGAAGGTAAAGTGACAGTGGGTAGAGAGGGGGAGGCGGAGGTGTTGGAGGGAAAGCAGACACAAAGTTCCCCACCCCCCTGTTTGACCCAAGCTAAAGGCTAACATCAGCATGCTCACACGGTCACAGTGACAATGCCATGCTGATGTTTAGTAGCTATAGCCTAGTATTTACTGTGTTCACCATCTTATCATTGCCATCAAGCTTTACTCATGCATAATACTAAGCGTAATCCTCAAACATAAGCTGGTATCCAAATGTATGAGGGGCACTGTGAAACTCTTCAGTAAAGCAAAGCAGAGGTACTGTAGCTTTACAGGCAAGAGAAAAACAGAAAGTGGCAGACAGTTCCAGAAGCAGCTAAAGTTAACCAGTGTCCTTTTTAACTTGCACAGATAATAAAGTAATGTACTGCACACACTTACACATACATGCCACAGAGCAATGCAGAACAAGAGCTGAGGTTTTCCAGCACTTTGCTTCCTAAAACAGCCTGTGTTGTTCTCAGCTGTTTTAATACCTATGACACTTGAGGGTGGTCTGTCATCCTGCGTCAGACCAAAAACACTCTGTTCTATCATGTCTACAGAGGAGATCTTAGAGAATTCAAAATGCCTCACCCCAAGTCTCCATGATAGCGTGATGTGATAGACAATGTCTGCATCTCATCACTTCTCATCTTCTTATCATATCTTACTATCTGATGAGAGCAACTTACTCAGTGACTCATTAGAAAAGTAAGATTCAGGGAACTTCACAATGAGCATGTTTAGGAAACCGTAACTCTCTATGCAGTAAAGCCTTTGAACTGCTCTACTGGTTGCAGGGAGCAGCAGATGCACCGTTGAACACAGAAAACCAGCAGAGCAGGTGGAGAGAGTTAGATGCTCCAAAGTATGTCCACAGTGCACCTCAGCCTGACAAAGTAAGGTACACACACTCCCACAGGCAATTTAGCATCACCAGTTAACCTAAGCTGCATGTCTTTGGACTGTGTGAGAAAGCCGGGAGAGAACCCACACAGGAATATACAAAGTCCACACAGAAAGGCCCCAGGTCAGCACAGGCTTGAACCCAGGGCATTCTTGTTGTGATGCAACAGTGCTAACCCCTGCGCTGCTGTGCCACCCATCTGTACTAAATCAAAATGTAAAAATGACATGTTGTGATTTCAGTGGTCATTTTATGTTAAATAAACTGCTTCAGTCAGTCTGACACATTAACCCCCTGTAAAAACACAAGAATTTGAGGTCTTAGTAAGCAGATTTTGGATAGATCCAGGTTAGGTGCTTCCCCTTTTGGCCAGCCTTAAACTGAATAAAACAAATAGGGATGTATGTTGTCATACATATGAAATGTAAAAAGCCCAGCAGCACTTACAGTGCATAGAACAACTTTAATGTTAAAACCAATATGTTTCAGCTTGTAGCCTTCTCCAGGGTCTGTTAAAGCCAGGTAACAAAGAATCAGAGAGGATTGTCCTCGGCCACCTCCGTGCCCAAGTGAGCTCAGCGCTGGACCCGCTGCAGTTTGCATATCGACCTGGCATCGGGGTTGATTACGCCATTATCTACATGTTGCATTGAGCCCTATCTCCCCTGGAGTCCCCCGGAAATATTGTGAGGGTCATGTTCTTTGACTTCTCCAGTGCTTTCAACACAATCCAGCTGTCACTGCTGAGGGGGAAGTTGGAGGGCACAGGTGTGGACCTGTCTGAATGGATCATTAACTACCTCACAAACAGACCTCAGTTCGTAAGGCTGCGGGAATGTGTGTCGGATGTGGTACTCTGCAGCACAGGGGACGGTGCTTTCCCCCTTTCTGTTCACCCTCTACACGTCAGACTTCAAGTACAACTCCCACCAGTGTCATCTACAAAAGTTCTCAGACGACACTGCTATTGTTGGATGTGGTGTGAGAAAAACCACCTGGTCCTGAACACCACCAAGGCAAAGGAGATGGTGACTGACCCCCGGCGGAAATCACCAGTACTCATGCCGGTGAGCTTGCAGGGCTCAAATATTGAGATTGTGGACACCTTTAAATACCTGGGTGTCCACCTCAACAATAAACTGGATTGGACCAACAACACAGACGCCCTGTACAGGAAGGGCCAGAGCTGCCTCCACTTGTTGAGGAGACTGAGGTCCTTCAGGGTGCGCGGGGCACTCCTTTGGACATTTTATGATTCTGTGGTGGCATCTGCAGTTTTTTACACTGTTGTGGGTTGGGCAGGAGGAAGCACGGTCAGGGACAGAAAGAGCCTAAACAAGCTGGTTAAGAGAGCTGGGTCTATCCTGGACTGCTCTCTGGATTCCATCGAGGAGGTGGCGGACAGAAGGATGCAGGTAAAACTAACATCCATCATGTATAACCCCTCCTATCCCCTGCACCACACAGCGGAGGCTCTGAACAGTTCTTTTAGCTTGAGACTGTTACACCCCCAGTATAAGGAGTGTTACCGCAGGCCATTCCTCCCCACAGCCATCAGACTGTACAATACATCACTGCAGTGATAAGATAGGTGAAATTATGAGGGATTATGCAATAGTCGACTGAGGTGCAATATTCAGCTCTAGGGGTGAAATGCATTGTAATATCTTGTTCCTGATCTCTCTCAAATACTGTACATTGCCCTGCTTTAGGTATTTTTGAGTAGTTCCTCAGAGATCCTTATGGCTGAAACACAGGTTTCTTTCCTCCATTGTGGGATTAATTGGGAGTAATATTCAATTGTTCTTGATTTCCTGGTTGTTTTCTTGATTCCTCTCAATACTATTTTTTTTTGTCTTGCTCCTAGGTATCTTTTTTGACTTGTGTCTTAGGGGCAAACTGTGGGAGGTCTATTCTTGTTCTTGATTGTCTGAAATACTATATTTTTGTTAGGTTTTTCAGGTACCTGGATCTTGTTTTCTCAAGATATGTGTGGGGTGTTTATTCTTATGGTGTCATGTTGTTTTGTCTTTTACTGCTGCTGGAACACTGGAATTTCCTCACTGTGGGATCATTACAGTTCTACCTACCTACCTACCTACCATCATTTAAGTAGCACAGATATTTAAAAAAAATTAAAACAACCAGTCACATATAAACATATGCATGTCAGCCAATAAAAACATACAAATAAATGGGCTGGGTGTGGTATATGGTGATGTGGTTATAAGTTAGTCATATTCACAGATTGGTAAAGAGGCAAAAGATCTGTCTAATAATTAACACAGGTGACAGCACACTTACCAAACATGCAGGGAAATGTACACTTTGGGTGGAGCAGTGGCACGGTACTGGTACAATTACCTGTATCAGACCCTGACAAAGGCCACAAGCCAAAATGTGTTGGTCTTAACATTAAAACTGCAAGTGTTGTTGGCATTTTTACCTTTCCAGTTTATTTTTTCCCTCATCTATGCACCTTGGCAGTGGGTGAAGTTGTGCCAGAAATTTCTTGGTTGATATATATTGACAGGATTTTTACAAGCCGTGCACAATGTATCAGTCAGAGCAGACAGAAATGCTGAAGCTGACATTGGTATTCGCATGAGAACTGGCACAGGTGAATGAAGGATGATGTTTTCTGATCTAATCTCCTCTCTTTCATTCATTAAAATCCTGACCAGAAGTGAAATCCTTCACAGCTTTGACTTCCCTCTACAGATGCAATTGTTCTCTTTCTCCACCAGGTAGCCTCAGTGACCCACTGTCCTGCCTGTATGGCACTTGACCTGATTCAGTGTTATAACATGCATCCTAATTTAATTAAACTACACAGTGCATATTTAACTGCAGGTCAACCCGAGAAAGAACTGCTGATAGTAGGTGTGTTTAATCAGCAACATGATGTTTGTAATCACTAAGGAGAGCCACTCATGACAAGTCAGGTGTTAACTGCTGCATCATACCTCGTTATGAGATGATTGGTAGCTAAAGGGCCACATACGCGTGCTTTCTTTCCTACCACACTTTGTTTTGAATGGTACAACGCCAGTGCGTCAAGTTGCTGGAGCGCACACTGTGTGGGCTTTGGCAGCAACACGCGGACTGAGGCTGCAGGACGACGGTCGAGTGACATTTAAATCCTGTTGTGTGCATTATTAATTCGTTAACAACTGTCAGCGATGTGCAGCCCATCGAACAAATAATCGGACGCATCTTTGTTTTGTTCTGGAACTAACTTCCTTTGGATGAACTGGGAATTTCTTATAGAAGCGATAGGACATTTATTTTGAAATATAAAATCAAACTACAGCTGGTCGCTTCTGCCCAAGAGGTGAGTATGATTATAAAGATTAAAACAGAAACGCGGTATTGTATGTAGGGAGGTGTGAGTCTCGATTAGAATCACACCTTAATAATTACAGTGCGCTTACAGGAAAATCCTTTATCAGATAGTTATGGAGAAAATTGTATTTAAATCTGATCATTGTCATTTGACAGTACACAACAGAATCGGCTCCTTAAGATACAGACATGTCCAAAGTTATGGAATTCATTCCTTTAATCCACAGGGCTACTGATGGCTTTAGTTAGCAGACTGGGGATTCCTGAAGTTACAGCAGTAAACAGAGCAGACAGAAGAGCTCCAGTCATTAAACTAAAACAACATCTGTGGAATTAGGACACACTACCTCTTCTCCACTGCAGCTCAACTGATGTCAAACCTAAATTACAAAGTCAGAGGGCAAATGTCCGACCCAGGGAGGGTTTGCCTCAAACATCTCGTCTATCATCATTTATCAGAAGATGCAATGATGGAGAGTCTGTGCCAGGCTGCAGCACTGGAGCCTCTTAGATTCCAATGTAGTGAATAAAATGTAGCTCACCCCTTGTTGTGCATGTTCAGGGATGGATCTCATGAACTTTACAGCTGTCGTCGACAGTGGGTTTTTGGATGAGGCGCCATCGAATCGTGTCCTAACCGGCTGTTTCCTCTCGCTGCTTATCCTCACTACCTTGCTGGGAAACACTTTAGTTTGCGCTGCTGTCACCAAATTTCGACACCTGCGCTGTAAAGTGACCAACTTCTTTGTGATCTCTCTGGCTGTGTCAGACCTCTTGGTTGCCATCTTGGTGATGCCATGGAAGGCAGTAACAGAGATCGCTGGGTTCTGGCCATTCGGCTCCTTCTGTGACACTTGGGTGGCTTTTGACATTATGTGCTCCACAGCATCCATTTTGAACCTTTGTGTGATAAGCTTAGACCGCTACTGGGCCATCTCCAGTCCCTTTCGCTATGAGAGGAAGATGACACCTAGAGTGGCCTGTGTTATGATCAGCATGGCCTGGATGCTGTCTGTCCTCATTTCCTTTATCCCGGTGCAGCTCAACTGGCACAAGGCCCAAACTAAATCTTACACCACTCTCACTAGGTCCTCTGGTTCTTCAGATTTTAATGCTACATCTTACACCATCCCAGAAAACTGTGACTCGAGCCTGAACAGGACCTACGCCATCTCAACATCTCTCATAAGCTTTTACATCCCTGTGGTCATTATGGTGGCCACCTATACCCAGATCTACCGCATTGCCCACAAACAAATTAAGAGGATTTCTGCCCTTGAGCGAGCAGCCGAAATTGCTAAGAACAGACACAACAGCATGGGCGGAGGGTCCAGCATCACAGAGTCTGACAGCACTTTCAAAATGACATTCAAGAGAGAGACCAAGATGCTGAAGATGCTATCTGTGATCATGGGGGTGTTTGTGTGCTGCTGGCTCCCATTCTTTATCCTCAACTGCATGGTGCCCTTCTGCGAGCAATCAAGCGGAGGGGAGGCTTTTCCCTGCATCAGCCCCACCACATTTGATGTGTTTGTGTGGTTTGGCTGGGCTAATTCCTCCCTCAATCCCATCATCTATGCTTTCAATGCAGATTTTCGCAAGGCCTTCTCCATCCTGCTGGGCTGCCACAGACTCTGTCAAGGAGGCCACAACATAGAGACGGTCGGTGTAAGCAAGAAATGACTCATGACTCTCTCATAGCGATGACTCATTCTTAATGCTAAGAGTCCAAGTGCTCTTGTTGAGGCTAGTCTGATCAGTTTAACAGGGGAAAGCTGCTCTTTGCACTAACTCTGTGACTGAGGGATATGGTGACCCTAAATGTACCCGTGTTTGCACTACACTGTCTTCAGTTGGAAGAAGCTCCTGAAAGAGGACAAGGGATTTGGGGGTATTGATTGAGACTTTGCTGTTGTGCCAGGGGGCTGGGAGCACAGTGATGCTGACACACCCCTGGGATAGATAATCCCATGACTGGGAAGCGCATACCCTAATGCTGTCAGACACTGCTCTCTTCAATACTGTCACACAAGAATGCAAACGATGTCAAAACACACTCTTCTATATATAGTGTAGCTGCAGCGCCCAAGAGCATGCAGAAATAGTGTTACCCATTACACTAACAACCTGGGCTCTGCAAGGATTCATGTGGTAAAGCATCAAACCAAATCATATTTCTTCATAGATGAACATGTAGGTGAAATTTATCAACAAAATATAACTTAATATTAAATCTAGAATGAAAACATTTGATTTTATGTGTAGCTTTATCCATTAATGTTTTAAAAGAAAGCTTTGATAAGTGGCCACTAATGAAAACATGATCTGAAGCCAAGGTATACAGATATGAAAAATGCAGGTTGTCAAATGTATGTGTCATTGCTGCTATGGTTTTAAACTTGTTATTTATATCTCACTGAAAAGTCAAGTAATTACAACTTTAAACCAAATTTAATCAGCAGATGCCTCATAAATTATTTGTTTCACTGCTTGAAGGTGTTTTATGGATGAGTGTCTCATCTTACCTTGTATGTGTTGTATTTTCCATTAACAACAGCTGATGGCCTCTTTTTTTCTGGAAAAGGCAAAGACCTAAACAGATATGTTGCTTGACAGTGCTGCTTGTTTTGGGGCTGACATAGAATTGTAATTGACTGAATCATGTTTAAGTAAATCAGTTTTAATTTGATCTTTAAAGTAAATTATTAATAGATATTTTAGACTTATAACAACTTGGATCATAGTTGTACAGGTTTGGCTATCATTCCTGTTGGTTATGATAACACGCTACGCATCACGCTCACTGACAACTGTGAACACTGATGACAGAACAAGAAACACGAGCAGCCAGACACTCAGGCAAGTTGTAAACCAGCCCACAGCTTTTGGAGGCAAAATCAAAAGTGAGGACATGAAATGTCACCGATAATTCTTGACAGCACAAGAAATGTTGACAGAAATAAAACCGACACATAATTTGCTTGAATAGAAAATACATAATCCTAAACTGTGTTGTAAAATAAACATTGTTCTGCTGCCACATTTGAGTGACAAGATAGTGTTGCTGTAATACATTTTACAAAGTCAGAAAACAGCCTTGCTGTTATTTATGATTTTTCTAATCCAGAATGTTTCCTCATATTAGCACTCACCGGTTTTCAGCATTTTGTGTTAGAAAACAACAACAACAACAAAATTAACCTAGAATACTGATGAAGCACGACAAGCAATGGATGTGCCAATCTCTGTTGCAATTACACACTGAATTTTTGATTCCAACATAAAATTACAGATTTTGGACCATAGTGTAAATTTCAAATTAAAAGTCACAGCACTAGTTCACAGGCAGTACTGCACATCAAAGGTGATTGAGGAAACTGTGATGAGTGTTTACAATGGATAGTTTGTGAAATCATTTTTATGGTTCACTTTTTATTTGTTTGAAAACCGTGATCATATGACTTTGACTGCTTGTATTTCTTTTCCTGATGTTTTTTTTTCTAATTTAATGTGTCTCCAGACCTCAAAAGAAATAGTTCCACATTTTGTACATTGTGCCAATGAACTATGTTGCCTGACTTCCTGCAGCATGTGAAAACCTCACAAAAACCTCGCTCTACACATAACCCAGCTGAGTGTGACATCACAGCTTGTTGCTTTTATATTTCTAACCAATCAACAAATTTTGATATGAGCAAATTAGAGGTCAGTATTAGAGGCACTGGTACTAATTACCTCTGCACAGAGTCAGGCTAGCTGTTTCTCACATCTCAGAATCTGTATGCCAAGATAAGTTAACCATCTCCTGGCAGCTTCACATCTAACAAAGTAGTATCTTTTAATCTGAGATCATGACTAATAAAAATTATAGCCAAACCCGTGAAACTAAGACCCAGGAATTCTCCTGTAAAGTGAAATGTGTGCTAACTTCAGGTAGCATTTATGATGCTATACAGTAGGTGTGTGGCTATAAACTCTAAAATAGTCTGCTGTTATAGAGGTCTGACCACTGCATACATATTGGCATGTTACATTCATAACAGTACAAACCATCAGAAGTGTTTTTGTCTATGTTCATAAAATCCATGTTGAGGTGTTTGTAGAACTGGCTGTACAGCTTTGACCTCCACGCATCAAACTTCCCGAAGCACATTTCACACCAGAGTCCGATGGGAACATTTGTGTCTTAGGTCCAAAATTTCACCCTGACATAACTGGTGTTCCTGTGTTTGTTCAGTGTGGTGATGTATTGCCATCATTAGCACGGCCAAAAGCTGTGTTTATTAAAGCTAATGAATATCTCTGTTTGAGTGCCTGGCCTTTCATAATTATGAAGAATTTCATGAATATTTTCTTAAAGCAGAGGATTTAAGATACATACTTAATTTTGTTATCAGATAACTCAACACTCAGAAATTAAAATGAAAAATTGTAGACATAATATTGTGGTGGGAAGTCTTTATACAGCATGTCTCAGACAAAGACACACACACACACACACACACACACACACACACACACACACACACACACACACACACACACACTTGTCCTTTAAAAACCCACTTCCTCAGGGCTCTGGACTGTCCTTCCCTTTGTGAAACCTCTTCAAGCGTGCCATGGGAAAGGAACAGCAATTAAATTGACTGACATCATTCAGAGTGATGGGTGACGTGGCGATAAGACAGGGTGTGTTCATGTGTGGTCGAATGTGTGTAGCTACGTATATGTGTATGGTGCAGCATTGCTATCACCTGCTCCAGTGCCCAACCCAGAATTCCCGCAATATCAGCTACACTCTGTAAACACAGACAATTTGTTTCCTTTTGCTAACTTTTTTCCTCCAGTGTACTGTATCTTGTGGGATTTTCAAAGTGTTGTCTTTTTAGATTGGCACATCAAAGAAGTGATGTTAGGCATGGCAACTTCAGATGATGCTAATGACTAACCCTGGGGAAATCATTTACTGAGACAGGAATAGAGAACGAAAGGGGCAAGGAGAGAAATAGAGACTTATGTATTGTAAGTAAAAAGCAATGGCAACTTAGAAAAGAAATGCAAAGGAGCCCCTTGTGACCTTTTCAAGCAAAATCTCTGGGAATTAAAATGCAGTTAAACCGTTTATGATAACTTGGTGGTGGTGCAGTGGTTAGCGCTGTCAGCTCACAACAAGAAGGTTCCAGGTTTAAGACACAGTTGACTTGATGCATTTCTGTGAGGAGGTTGCATGTTTTCCTTGTGTCTGCATGGCTTCTTTCCAGGTAGGGTGGCTTAGTTTGACTGATGATGCTAAATTACCCATAGGAGTCAGTGTGCGTTGTTGTCTGTCTCTAAGTGTCAGGCCTGTGAAAGACTGGCAACCTGTCCAGGGTGTACCCAGTGACTGCATATAAATGGTGCCCAAACCCACCCATTGGTTTTCAGAAGAG